TGCTTAGGGTTTGAACTTTTATGGCTTTGCCAGCACAAAATTTGTCACGGCGCTTAGTTTAGAGTTTTGGGAAGCCCAAAGGCTTTCCCCCAGCGGACTTTTCCCTCCACCCAAAACAGACTTTATAGTAATAGATTTTTCCACAGCTTAGTTTTTCCAAAACAAGAAAAACCACCTTGGCTTGGGCTTAGGTTTAGCCGGCGATGATAAATGCATTTCGCGTTGGCATTTCCAGATTTCAATTAAGTTGCCACCCCTTGGAATGGCTTTTAACCTTTAACCTCGACATTGACGCATTTTTATGAAATTCTAATGATGTTCGAAGGCAATGTCCTGCTCCTCCTCCTACGCATCATCCCCAGCCAGGACATTCATGAACTTTGGGCAATAAAGAAACTTTTGCTACGTGTGTGTGGCATTATTTTAATTGCCGCTCCCGCTGTCGTGTTATTGCTGTAACATTTCGCACGTGACTTTCTGATTTTATGGCTTTTAATTTCACGTATTTAGTTACGGATAATGTTAATTGTATTCGCCAGCCCAAAAAGCCCAATAAAGTCCAACGCCCTCACAGTTATGAGGCCCCAATTGACAGGACTCGAGGTCCTTTGTCACAGATGACACGCCTTGTGTGTGTGTGTGTGTGTATGGAAAACAATTGCCAGGCAGCAGTCAATTGTATACCCTAATTAGTGGCCGATGGAGCGAAATGATATGATAATGGCAGTATGGTCCTCAACAGGACATTCGGTTATAATCGGATGAAAGCAGATCGCAAGCCATTTGCAGCACATGGAGCAGAGAAAGAGGTTAATCTTTAACTCATATTTAAGAAGGTTTCAATAAGAACTTGCAACTTGTGAATCTTGTGATAATATACGGATCTCTATGTGTTTAAGTTTATAGAATATTATATTTTATTATAAAGAAGATTTTATGTTAAAGTTCCAAGAAGGATATGTAACTTTGACTTAAGATTTAGTTCATTTCTGTGTCTGTCCTCTGCAGCCATTTAATGGTTACATCAGTTACATTTTAACTAAAGAGTCTCCTTATATTAGAACAGATAAAGAATAGTCCAAATGAAGCAAACAAATTCCTTTAAAATCAAACCAAAAATGTGTTGAAATCCAAACAATTAGTTTTCTAAATCCCAAAAACATGTTGCCTTAAAAGCATTTATAAAACGTTCTATTTGATTTCTTGCTGTTGAAATGGAGTTGACAAAAAATGCATGAGATTCATATAAATTATTTACAGGGCACTCTGAATTCGATTTGCAGGCGATGCTCTTGTTTTTATTAGTCCTTGTGTGTATTTGTGTTTGTGTGTGTGCGGCATGCAAATTTAATGATGTCAAGCAAGGCAATAAGGCAAAGGGCCGAGCATACTTTTTGGGGTATGCAGGAAGAGGGAGTGTGCAGTGGGTTTCAGATTTTAATTATCGAAAGGACCCGGCACACACACAGACAACAGTTGAGAACAACCAACAACAAGTGTATGAATAATGATTCGTTCAAGGGCTGGATCCTTTTCTCTCTCTCATCGGACAAATAATAATATGTAATTTTCCGGCCATTGAAACATTTGCACAAATAAGGAAATTGACTGAATCGTTTGCCCAAATGGCTTTTGCCAACACTGAAAGTGTTTCCTGTCTGTATCTGTAACCTGTCTCTGTTACTAGAGATGTAAATGTATCTGTATCTATATCTACAAATATCTGTATCTCCAATCCCAGTTTCAGTTCCAGTTCCAGTTCCTATTTCCCCTCCAAAAACTCCCTGTCTGAGCTATGAATTATGGCTTTGGCAAGCGTCTGCTGCTCCATTTGACTTGTCTTGGCCTGGCTCAAGTAAATCATTTTAATATTTAAATTAAATCAACTTCAAAATCAACTACCACTTCAGATACAGATAGAGAAAAATAGGGTACCTTTTTATACCCATTGCAGGGCTTATAATTTCAGTCAAAAGCTTAAAAAGCATTGAAGGAGTCATTTCCGACCCTACATTTCATATATATTCTTGATCAGGATCAACAGCCGAAGCGATCTAGACATGTTTGAAAGAAATGAAAATTTTTCAATTTTTTCAACATTTTTTAAGGGGTTACATTGTTAAAATTATCAATAAATTAAACAAAAAATAAAATTTTTTAAATTTTATATCTCAGTATGCAGATTTATTAACCTTTTAAAAACTGGCCTAGAACAGTTTTCCAAATTGAAATTAAAGCATTTTTGGCTAAGTTATGATATTTGAAGAACTTAAATTTAACCAAAAAACTGGCATATAAAAATATTGATTTAAATACCTAGAAAACACACCCGAAAGTACTTATTAAGTTCAACACATATTTATTCTACATTATATTTTTTTAAAATTAATTTGGAACTAATTTCTCTAAGTGTAATCTTTTGCTTTGCGGAAGTTATGCCTCGTCTTGTGTCTCACCTAATCTTTTCCATTCTAAACCGGCAATCGGAATGACTTTAAGGCGTTAATTATAATGCGAGACATGCGAGCTTTTTGGATGAGGGGATAAAGCGTGTGTGTGCAATATAATTTTGATTGGCAAAAGGTACATAAAATACTTTATATATAGAAAGCTATATAGATACATATATGGAGAGGGGGAAGAGGCTGTTAAGCTGTTGAGATACATAAATGGAGAAGCCACTGGAATTGAATATTTCATTTGCTAATCTTTGCCTTTTATTCAAGCATTTAATTATCAAGCCTTAGTTATGATTTTTACAAGTAGTTTTCTCTGCAGAATATTTATTTGCTAATATTCTTGAACTGAAAACTCTTTCTAAATGATTTTGGCTCTGAATATTTGTATGTAAATGCCTTTTGTGGACATTCAATCAAGCTCAACCCCACTGCTAGCTGTCTCCAGCAAAATGCCATTAGTAATGTGAAATTATTTTGAATTTATTCTCAAGTCCTGGATAGGATAGGATATATGTTATGAAAAATGTGCATGCTGTAGATGAAACGAATAAATCATCAGAGGAGGCCACAAACCTAGAGGTCCTGCGACAGTCTACGTCTACACTCTGCATCAGCTGGATGTGTCTGTACCCAGATTTTCCTTTAGGATTTTCCCCCACAGCAATTTCGGTTGACTAATTGAAAGTTTGGAAAGGCAGAAGAGGAAATGCTGTGTGTGTTTTTGTTGTGCGGAGGGAGAGAGGGGTGAGCATTTGGCAAATGGCAAAACATGACGTAAAACAACTCAAAAACAATGCCGCCAACTGTGTGTAAAAAATCTTTCTTAACAAATTGCAAGCGTGTCAAAATGAAAACGCATAAATTTTTTAATGCCAACTCTCGCGAAGGCGATTAAACTTAAAAAACACAAAATTGTCGCAATCGCAAAGGCGGTGCCTTTTGTCATCCGCTTTTTTTTTTTTTTGTGTGCAAGTGGTTTTCGCTTCGATTCGCTTTCAGCTTTCAGTTTGCGACTTTGTCGGCGATAATTAATTAAAAATCGATAAGATTTTGATTTGGATTTAACGGCTCCGGCTGAGCGGATTCGAGAATTATGATGCTTAGTCAGCCGAGAGGCAATTCCATGACAAACGACCCCCAAAACGCGCTGACCACCTCCCCTTCCACCCAAATGTTGTCCGGCGCTTTTGTTTTTGTTTACGATTCTCCGATTTGCAATTAGGTATAAATTTTTCGAATGCGAATTCCCAGCGGGATGTATGAAAGGTATATATCTGCATATATATATAATACATATAGTATATATAGTATGCGCGTTGTATCTATAAATAGTCTCGGGCAATTCGGTTCAGATTTTAGCCATGTGGTCCACCTGATTTGATTGTTTGCCAATGAAAATGATTGCAGGCTATAAATTTTTGGGTGAGATGAGGTAGGAGGTATATGTGTTTGTGCTTCTGCTGCCTTCTCCGATTTATAACCCACATCCGTGGCTCTCTACAAATTAATACCCCATTTTGGATAGTAATATTTACGATTTCACTGATGGAAACTTGCCCAATAAATTGTTGATATTTTAAAGCGTTTTCGGTGAGTTATCTACAATGTGTGTGTGTGTGTTTTTCTATATATAGAGAAATGATCTATAAATCTATAAAGTAAGAGGGATTTTTTTTTAGCTCTATGTTATCATTGTTATAAAGGTTTTAAGGGAGTAAAGAGGTTAACAAACTGTTAAAGATTGAGTTGAAGAGGATATAATGCTTGATATTACAGAAAAAATTAATACAGAAGATGCCATAACGCTTTGATATATTAATACTGTTTTTATATTGGGTCAGTACATCAATTGATATTTTATGTATTTCATTGAAAGTGTAATAAATCATTATTTTGTTTAAATGATGGGATTTATATAATCAAAAAAGGTAATTAAATACAGTGTTCTGTATATATTTTGGTAATATAAATATTTTAATATATCAAAATTTAGAACCCATAAGACTATAGTTTTGTAGCTCTAAGTTAAAGTTGGTTTTATCTTAACAGCTTTTTAATTTGTAAAATAAATCAGCTCCTTTTCTTTAAGTGAAATGCAGAAATATTTGCAAACATTTTAAAGTAAATTCAATTTAAAATCATAACTTCCTTCCCATTACACGGTATCCCCTTGGTCTTAAGACCCAAAATCTCTTTTCCTTCCGTCTTGGCTCCGTTTCCTTTTCGTTTGTTTCGATTGGAACGTGTGAATTTATTGTGGTCATAAATTACAGTACAAAACAACACACACCCACGCACACACCCGAAGGTCGCCTGGGGACGTCAAAGGGTTCTCCCCATGGGGGGGAGTTGGCTTAAAAGGGGGTCAAGAAGAAGAATGGAGAGGGCCAAGACCCAGTTGGCCCAGTTGGACTTCCCCAGCGAGCTAATTATTGTAAATTGTGCATTAATCTCTCTCTCATGCAACCGGATTTTGCAATCAAGAGTTTATCTTTGATGTTTATTTAAAGTGTTTTCCAGATAGAAATTTTAAAGACTTACCCTTGCAGACCTTGCGATGGGTTAGGGGCTTGGTGGGATCCCTGTAGAAACCCTCCTTGCACTGGTGACAATTGCGACCCGTGGTCGAGTGGCGGCAATTCTGACAGACTCCGCCGGAGACGCCCTGCGAGAGCCGGAAGATTTCCATGTTGAAGCGGCACTGGCGGGCATGTTTGTTGCAGTTGCATTCTGGAAGGAAATGGAAGGAAACCGAAGGATATTAGGGCGGACATGTCACAGGATATGCACAGCTGGCAGCTGCTAAGGGAGCTGCTACAAATGGCTTTATCGCGATAAATGGAAATAAATGGCTAGCTAGCAAAATGGCTTTAGGTCCACAGAATGAATGCTGGGCATCCATTTATCTAGCAGGAGATTGGCTTAGGGCTATATAATTTATGCGGCGATTTGTTTTGAATCACTTACTTAAGACCTAAGCCGGGAAAATAGAGAAAAGTGAGTTTAATAGAGTCTTTAGTGGTTGTAATTAATTCGAAAACATTTACTTCTACAGCTTTTTTGTACTGTTAACTTTGCTCATCAAACATCTAGTAGTACTATATGTATATATTTGATATTTCAATCCTTTGGAGAACCATCTGTTTCAATTCCAATTCGATCTGCAAAGAGTTTGGTTTCTTTGCTCAATTCTTTTGTTGCCTTCTGCCATGTTATGCTATTGACATTCAATGGCAACTGCTGCGGTTATAGGCCACACTGAGAGAAACCTTATACATGTATTAAATCTATCTCGATTATTTAAAACGGGGTTTTCCTAGCTTATTTTTTATTCGTGTATCTGCTGTGGCTGCTGACTTGGCATCTTCTGGCTGAGGTTTGAAAGCAAAAGGAGACATGGACAGAAGCTGTCAATGGCAAAGGCCACGAATGTTGCTGTTGCTCCTGCTGCTGATGCTGCTGTTGCTGCTGCTGTTGCTGCTGATGTTGCAGCTTGCGGCTAGACAAAGCTTCAAGTCCATCGTCGAGGGCCCACTGTCTGCACATTCGACATTCGACAGCTTCAGAACTCCATTGGCAGTTCAGAGTTCGGTTCTGTGCTGGGCACACATGTTATAATTATCTTCGCACATTGCTGTGGGGGGCAGTGGCAGACAAAGCGCCTCTTTGCAGGGATCCCAGACCCAGAACCAGAACCAGACCCAGACCTAGACCTCCTTTACTCCATATTGCCCCATGGCCATGGCGCATGCCAGCCGCAGACAAAGTTATGTCAGCGCAAATATTTGAGCACAGTCAGGACTGTCGCATTCATACACTTGGAATATAGAATATATAGAATACCGATTTAGGAATTGCAAATTATTTAGAAATAAAGGAAATCAAGCAGGATTGCATCTCACCTAAATTTATAGATAATTTCTAGAGCTTTGCTTGCAAACCAGATATGAAAGTGTCTTGGGAAACTTACGAAACCATAACTTCAACTAAGTTAAATTGAGTTATTTATACCTCCCCAATTGATAGCTTGTATTTTCCCCCAGTGTATAGAAAGAAGAGCTATGGGGATAACGACAACGACGACCATTCGTTGTAGAATCGTCAACAAAAGCTAAGCAAATATTTAGAAAAAGCAGGGCTCAAAGCACGGCGTGTGGCTAATTGCCAAGCTACTGCCAGATACCAAAAGCTGCCACCATGGCCCACCAAAAAAGAGAAAAAAAAGGGTTCGGTGCGGTGTTAAAAATGCTAGATAATTAATTTTAATGACACACTTACGACCTGCCGGGCGGGCGAATGCAACTTGATTTATGGGCCGACCGGATTCCGAGATTTTTCGTTTCCTTCGTCGAAGATCTCTTTTATATTTTTACATTTTTTTTTTGGGGGCCATGTAAATTTCACTTGGACGATTACAAAATGCCCATCCAGCTCAATCAAATGCGACTTAAAGCGATGCATAAAACCGTTCATTAGCCGGACCCCGGGCTGCCGTGTTATCCGAGAAAGGTGAGTCCAGTAATTAAGTTCAAATTTGATAAGTGGCCACCAAAAAAACAAAAAAAAAAAAAAAAAACACTCTCGCACGTCTCAAACTTGGAGCAGTGTTTTTATTATGTTATTTTTTTTAGGAGACAATGGATTTGTCAGTATCGTTATCGGTATCTGTATCCGCATGTGTCTCAGTTTTTAAAGAGTTTCAGAGTTTCCCAGACAAAAAATGTTCAAATCTCTCAGCGAATAATAATTAAGGTCATATATCTAGACTTATGTAACTGAATCCTCTTTGAAGGATCTTTTTTTGCAGTTGAATTAGTACAGTCCCGAGTTATGCATTTTATGAATGGAAGGAATCCTTTGACAGGACCGTTTGGCATCTCTAATTAACTGCCAAAGAAAGCCGTATTTTTTTTTTTGGTCCTGCTCCTGCTGCTGCTTCTGGGGGATTTCTGGACTTTTGGCCAGGGGCAGATTTGACCAAGCTTAGCAGCTCAGAAATGAACGGAGCAATGGAGCCGCTGATAAATGGTCGAAAAGCGTTCACTTTGGCCATGGATGGGGCTACCTACTATGGTCAAAACAATCCCAACCAAAAAAAAGAGAAAAACAGAAAACATTCTAGACCAATGGCAAACGCAACCCCCCGACCAAAAGCCAATTCAAACGTTTCGCTTTATCCTTGCTCAACGGGAAACACATGGATATGTTTATGCGGTTGGAAGGATTGCATTTTGAACAAGTTTATGGATTATTTAAAGAGCTTTGGTCACTCTAATTAGTTGCAAAGCAATCTACTGCTTCGAATTATCTTAAAAATTACTTTTTATTGTTATTAATTTGTATTTCATCTTTAAACTTGTAAAAATCATTGGATATATTCTGATGATTCCCTATCTACATCTATCTATCTAACTATCTATATATCTATCTATCTATCTATCTATCTATCTATCTATCTATCTATCTATCTATCTATATATCTATCTATCTATCAATCTATCTATCTATCTATCTACCTATATACCTATCTATCTATATATCTATCTATCTATTTATCTATCTATCTATCTATCTATCTATCTATCTATCTATCTATCTATCTATCTATCTATCTATCTATCTATCTATCTATCTATATATCTAATTTAATCAAAATTCACGTTAAACTTCGCATAAACTTTATTGGCCCCTTGATGGGTTCTCAGCGCCGCCATTGCCTCGTCCTGTTTTCGAGGTTGTGTGTGTGTTTTTTTTTGACTAGAACCGAAGCTTTTCCTTGTCCATGTCCATGCCTGAGCTGAGAGTTTTCCATTTTCCCCCCTTCTCCTCTCCTCTCTGCTCTCCCTGTACTAGTCGTTGTCGACATTTCATCGTTTTATGATTGATTGCGTTCGCCTCGCAGTGATTTTCGGTAACCGAAAATTGTGAATTGAATTCGAGCTGGCCACAAAGGGGATGGGGAAGGGGAAAGGGGGTGGAGTGTGTGTAAGGGGTGTGTGGGTGTAGGTGTAGGTGGGTGTGTAGAGTGTGGAAACTGTTGGCGGGTGGTGTGCCTTTGAATTGCCGTTGTTGTTGCGATTGTGGTTGCGGTTGATGCTCTTGCGTTTTTGCACTGCAATTTGACAATTTCATTGCAAAATTGTTTTGGTGTTTGTGGCCGTGTTGTGTGTATGGTGTGTGAGTGTGAGTGTGAGTGTGTGTGTGTGTGTGGTGTATGTGATGTGGTGTGTTGTGTTGTGTTGTGTGTAGTTTCCCTGTGATTTGTTAAAAGTGAATTTGTTTTAAATAGAACAACGAGAGCTTTACAATTAGTTATTAAATTGTAAGCGAAACTTGTTAAAGTCTTTCATTAATTTTAATCACTTGCAGGATACTATATTTAGTTATGATTTTACACTGAAAAGTATATGAGGATTAAGCTCTTTTAAACCTATTTTTCTACCCCAAGTACAGCTGTTTAAACAAAGTAATTAAATCTCTTAACTTGACCACTTTGTCATCTTGATTTCACTGTTTTTCTGTTTAACCCAATTCCACTTTGGCTGAGATCTTTCTATTTATAAACATTTCCATTGAAAAAAACAATCGTAAACAGGGAAAAACTTTCATAAATTGTTCGCACTTTCTTCGCTGGAAGAAATACTTGAAAATACTGAGAAATCCCCTTTTGCCAGAGCTTCTTACACATGGCCCTAAACAAAAGATTACCAGAAAAGCCCCTTAAGCATTATAATAGACGGAATATCTGGCCAAAAGTAATTAAGTTGTAAGGTTTCTTTAGCTTTCGGCTGCCTTCATATTTCGTCTGTCACTTGGCGGTAATAACTTCATTTTGCTAACGATCAGAGAATTACATTTAGAGAACATTTAAACAAATCTTGGCAAATGGAGACTCCCTTTGAAAATAAGATGAAGCTTTTGTATTCGAGGGAAATAATGATTAAATAATTCGGGGAAAATATAGAGGATCGCAGAAAGTGTGGGAATTTTTTATAATAGATCAGAAGGGTTCTGGGAAAGTTGTATAAAGATATGTAGATGATATTTTAATAAAAAGTTTATACAAGAGATTAGTATTAAAACAAGAGGTAATATATTTGATACTAATGGATATTCTGAATGAATTTTAATTCTGAAATTTTTAGAATTTTTAAAGAATTCAAGAATCTTACAAGACACCCACTCAATAGAAACAAGAATAATGGTTTAAAGCTGGCCATGTTCTATAAGCCCACGCCTATTCTGATCTCCGGACAACACCTCAACCTCTGTCTCTTCCCCCCTTTTGACTTTTTCTGGCAAAACTGCAATTAAGGCAACTTGCAACTGCAACGCTTTTGTATTTGCAACATTTTCAGCATGCCGCAGCTGCAACATTTAGCTTGTCAACGATTACAAATTGTGTGCTGCCAACGGCGGGCAAGTAAAAAAATAAATAAATAAAATAAAGAACAAACCGGGGCCAGACACGAACATGCTTAAAAATACTTTCCCGAGGAATCCACCAACTTGCTTCTCAGAGTTCTCTAATTAACGCCCCGCAAATTAGCATATAAATATATATACACTATATACTATATACATGGACCCCGATATCCTGCCGCCAATAAAAAACCATGTTCATTGGGGGCTTCTTCTTCCATTGGGAATTTATGTTTGACTTTTCGGGGAAAATGTTCGTTTTGTTTGTTATTTTATTTAAATCAAGCCACCAAATTACTTACAATTCT